GGAATACGTAGGCCCAGAGCTGCGATACTCTGTCGAGTCCTTTATTTTTCTTTTGACCCTGAGCCGTAGCGTAGATAGATAAACAACCCTTTTAGATAAACAAACAAGTGTGGATCCCGTTGAGTACAAAGGACGTGAGGGGTGCTAATACCTTCCCCTTGCGTAACCGATTCCTGAACCCGAGATTTGGTTGCGACGGCCGATCTTATCCCTTTTCGCTAGGTTCCTCCTGATAGTTTCCTTTCCCTCCTTTGGGATAAATAACGATAGGTGGCGACTCTTCTGTCTTTGCCGGCACCTTTTTTTTGCAGTAGCGACAATTGCTATGGTCTGGCTGGCCATCACCTTCTCCCTTTCTACCCATCTGGCTCTTGGGGGTTGAGTCTTCGACCCGGGCATCCCGACTGGACGCGACTGCAAAGTCGATGCTTCTGTGGCTGCCTTCTTATTTCGCTGATGACGCCTCCACTGGGTTCTCGTTATTGGGTTCTTGCCTTTGTAATTGGGAGACACCACATACCCTTTTGACCCATCGTTCTTGACGGAGGCCCTAGCCTCTTTTTCCAAATCCAACATCTTCCATTTTGCCCTTTTGCTCCCTTTCTGTGTCACAGGGGCCATCCATTGGTCTTGTGGGATATCCGACGGGGGTATAAAAGTTCCGGTACTCCTGATTTCGTCGAGGAGTATCGTCTTTGTCGAATACAAACCTTGGGACTGCTGCTTTATCTGATTTGACCCTGTTCGTCGCTTTCTAGTCAAACACAGCATGACACCTGGAACAGAGGGCGGCTGTGGAGCCGCCAACTTTGCACTTTTCTTGAAATTCTGCTAGACTTTCCCCAACTTTAGGGTAGATTCCCCCAAAATCCATCTTTGTCTTTTTGTCGAAACCCTCAGTAGCTTCGATCATCATGCAATCTAGGATTGGGGTTGTTACTTGCTCCTTGAGGCCCTAAGTGGCCTCGATCATCATACATTCTGCCACTTCAGAATACAGTGCTTCCTCTGTCTTTAGAGGGTTCGCATCCACTTGCGTCTTTGGTCTTTCACCAAACTGCAGTCTTCCTTCCTTTAATGCCTTCTGCACCAAATCCTTGAAAAGAACACATTGAACAGTTTTATGACCAAGAAAGTTGTGAAATTTACAAAATTCCCTCTTTTTCTTTTGTTCTAAAGGGGGATCTTTTGTCCCGACCGAGACGATAATTTGACCATCTTTAACTAATACATCAAATATCTCATCACATTTGGATACATCAAAAGAATATGTTTTTGCGACGTATTTGTCCATTTTCTCTGTATCGACCAGATTCTTTCCGTTCGACGACTTCAGGACCCTACACGCGTATGATGGTCCAGGTTTTAGTTCAGTCACATTGACGACGTTTTCTTTGACGCATTCCTCATCATCCAATGAATATCCGTCGGTAGTTACAAACACCACCTTCTCTTTCTTACGGTATCGACTAGTCTGTAATTTCTCGCTCCTCAAACGTTCAACCTGTCGGATGCGATCGGCCAGTTGTGCCATATCTCTTAAGTATTGTGTATCTAACTTCTTCCGAATGGAGTAATCTAATCCTCCCGCGGCCATTTCGACCAATTCGTGTTCAGGGACTTGCGTAAAGCATCGCACTTTCAACAGTCTGAACCTATTTAGATATTGGTCTACGAACTCCGTTGCTTTCTGTTTTATGCTAGCTAACTCTTTTAAGCTGATCTTTAATTGTCCCATGTAAAAAATTTTGTGGAACAATCTTTCCAGCTGTGTCCATGTGTGAACTGACTGTGGGGACAATGAAGTGAACCACGTGAACGTGTTTTTTGTGAGGGAACTAGGAAAATATTTCATTTTCAAATCCTCGTTATTCGCTATGTCTCCAACTTCGGTCTGATACCTAGCTACATGTTCGACAGTGGATTCCTCCGTTTCACCCACAAACTTTGTGAATTTTAGGACCTTCCAGCCTCTTGGTAGCTCCGTTTGTAACACAAAATCCGGCAAAGGGGGCGTGTAGGCGGGTCGTCGAAGGCTAGGGATCATGCCATTTCGAACCATAATGCACTCGATTATGGCCTCTAGATTGGCTTCGCCTCCAGGATTCTCGTTTCTAACTTGTCTGACTACGTGGTCTGGGTCTTGGTCCTTGTGAACTATTACGATGGGAGGCCTTTGGACCACCCTAGGGATATGTTCGTTCTCATACGCCTGTAGGTCTTTTCTCTCCTCGACAGGCTCATTTTGTCGACCCGGCGTGTCGGGATAGGTTGGAGGGGTTTGTCCTCCTATGTTCCTAGGTTCCCCTAAAAATTCTCCTATTCGGGTCATCGGAGTTGCCAATTGTTAGTAACTTTGGATCGACTCCTGTCGTAACGAGCCTCACCTCAGGTCGAATTGGAGTCGTGAATGGTGCGGTGCCAGCGGTCAAAGTGACTATCATCATGGGTCCGGTGTTCAGAGCCGTCCCTGGCGAGGAAACCGGGTTTCCTTGCGAAGATGTTTCTTTGTTTTGTCGCGGTTTCACCATCTTTCCGCTACATAACTGCATATACCTAAATCTACGGGTCCTACTGGGCGTGCCAATTTGTTCGCACGTGATTTTCGCGCGGACAACCTCTGACCTTCCTCCGTGGGTTTGCTTGCGGGACCGGCCAAACTAGTCCCAGGACAATATGCTTTGGGTGGATCGTTTACTTGGGTTATGGTACACCTTGACGGTTATGTGCTTTGTGGTGCGTGTAGGAATAAACTCTAGGCAAATAAAGTTTAGTTGAGACAAAGCAATGCTAAAGCAAAAACCTTAAAGAGATTCTGAACAAAATGGTACTTTAAATAACATAAATACTTGGTAAACTTAACGTAAAAAGGAAAAAGACAAGTGGACGTATCCGTACATTTTGGAATGACAACGTAAACTCTTTTCTCTCTAGTGTGGTACTCAAAGTGTTTTTCTTCCAATATTGACAAAAGACACCCTTATTTCCTAACAAGATCTTGCTTTATATAAACATACAAAATAACTGCCAAAAGGCTTCAGGATGCACCACGTGTCACCCCACGTCTCTGAAAACTGCCTCCACGTTCCTATTTATAAAATGGTTTCCCGCCAGGCACTATCTTCTCCCGTCGAGGGCACTCTCATTGGTTTCTCCTTTGGATCGATCGACGCAGGGGTACGTCGACCAAACCACCTAGTAATGTCGATTCATGGTGTGATGCTGCCAAGTTTTGTTGCTGCCGACCCTTGGCTTTCATGCAAGGAGTTTGCCGGTCTAACTCCTCCTTCCTCTAGCTCCCGCCGAGGTCGATGTTTCCAGTTGGCTAATTTCCAGCCAACATATGCGTGTATGCTATGTATTATATATTATTATATGATTTCGATAATTATGTGAACTGTCACCCTTCTGTTGAAATAATGTTTTATACGACATCGCTCAGGTACTGAAAAATAGAGTTGCTTCTAGCACGAGGGTAGCTGTTGGAGCTACTTAATTTATTTTTCTTATTTATTTTGGGTCGAGTCATGCTCCGGTCATGTAACACTAGGAACGTTTTAATGAAATCAATTTATATTAATAGAAATACTTTTTTTTTCAAAATCAAACTACATTAGTACCATTACAAAATATACAAGTCAAAATATTAACTACATATTTAACTTTCTAAATTAACAAATATACAAATTGAAATATTAAAATATTAATCACATATTTAATCTTCTAAATTATCAAAACAAAATAATAAAGTACAAAAAATAAAATATACGACACAAATTGAAGGTGTGAATTAGTGTCATCCGAACTGTTACCATATTTTATAATCACAAAAAATCCAAAACCGAGCTCAAACCCAGTATTTTAAAAATCGGACCTAATCGGTCAGTCGAACCGGAAACCGGAGAGGTCACCGGTCTAGTTTGATTGTTGGGTTGGATATACTATTGAACTAGTGAGAACCGACCAGAATCGGTTAAAACCGGTGAACCACGGTTTAAATGTATGTTTTTTTTTTTAATTTTTAATAACGACGCCTTTTTGATAATTTATTTATTTTAAATAAAATTAAAATATAAGTAGACTTTATTCAAAACTTATTTGAAACAATTTTTTTCATTTGTAATTAGATATTGCTCAAAATTTATTTGAATTTGTATTTTCTACTATTTTCTACAATTTTCTACTACGTCAAAAATTTAAATTTAAAAAATGAAATTGTAAAATTATGATATTTTGAAATTTGTAAGTTTCGTGATACTTTTTAGAGACCGAGTCATCCAGTTCGGCCGATTTATTAAATATATAATTTTTTTATAGAGTTTAGTTTATTCAAGTGAGTTATCCGATATATTTATACGGTTCGACTAGTGACCAAATAGTTCGACTAATAAATCAGCGACTCAATACCTTCACTGATTTAATGATTGGTTCCATTTAAAACATTGCTCAAACCCAATTGAAGCATATTTTCTCGGTCAAATTTAAACCAGATTCGAGTGAATATTCGAATTGCTATGTTTCTTAAAATAGGATATGTTAGAAGTCGTAGCAAAAGCGAGCATAGAAGAGATCCAAATCATATGCATCTTGGCCTTATCTGTATTACACGGTTCAAATTTTAAACTTGTTGCTTAAATATAAAATTATACTTTAAATTCTGAATTGTTAAATCTTCATCCTATTAGAAATAATTCATATTTATTAGTTATACTATTTTTTTAGCCCCTAAGTTTGTTAGAGGGTATTTTAGTATTTTTATCTTATTTTAATAACTCTAGTTTTAGTTTATAAATAGGGTAGCAATCAGTGCAATTTGAGGTGTGTGTAGCCGTCATTCTCTTTAATAGAATATTTCTTATTCATAGTTTATTTTATTTTATTTTACTTCCCAAGCAGCGTAACAGGGGAACACGAAGTGCCACATCAGCGTCCTTGCATTTTGGAAATTATAAATATTCATTGAAGGCGATTGCAGAAAGAGATTGACACGCAGAAATTCCATGGCAGAAGAAGGGAAGCCCGACGATCAGCTCTTTCAGCTCCTCTCCAATCTCCTCCTTGAGGTTCATTTCAAATTTTCGATTCTTGTTTTCTGAATCTGGTGTTCAATTTTGATTTTTATGTTTCTGATTTTATTTATTAATCGTCTTGTTGATAATAATTATTATTATTATTATTATTATTATTATTCCGAGATCTGTATTTGAATTATATCGACTTTTTTCGTGTTGCAATTGTGTTGTTATGGATTCATGATTAAATTCAGTTTTGTTTTTTTATACTAGATTGTAAATCGTAATTTTCCTGTAATTGATGCTTCTTTCATGTAAACGATTTCAAACTGACCTGAATCTGTTAGGAACTAGAAAGGTGTATAACAAAATAGAACAATAATGGTGGGATTGATTCTGAGTGAATTGATTTTGTAGAATTGATTTTTGTTAAAAATGAGTTGAATGCAGAGTGATTTATATTTGGATACATTTAGGTATTGTAAAAGTGTGCTGAAGAACAAATTTTAGGGTAAAATTCACGTTTGAATTCAAAAGCTACAAATCTTAGCTTCGGTTAGAATCAATTCTGGATAAGTTATTAGTGGTATACATTTGTAAGATAAATTAAGGCGGTAAGATGAATATTTGGACAATCAATTGCTAATTCTCTCTTGGTGAAAGGTTGAGGATATCATTTCTTTGCATAGCCCCATAAGAAAAAATTACAAACAAAAACTTGACATGTATTGATGTGAGTTACGAGCCAACTAGTGGTAAGATGCCATTATAAGTTTTCTTTCTGCATTTATCTTTTCCCTATAGAGAACTGTTTTTTTGTTTATCCCTCCTTTGTTCGCAGCATTCCTATGTATTTGAAATGGCTTCATTTCTAAATATCAAATAATTTGGCTTTGTATTGAACCACTATGGTTCATCCCTGTGCTATCATGCAGTATAGTAATTTCTAAAGGTCAAATACAGTTTTCTACACCTTACGGTATCACTTTACATATTTTTGCAACAGACCATTGCATGCTTTATCATGAAGTTGTTGCTAATGTTTTAGTTATGATTACTTTAGGACCACAATACAATATACGAATCGATAGAGTATGTATATCTTCCTCTTAACTTTTTTTGTTGTTTAGTTATTGATTGATTAATATGAGTCCTGTTTGGTTTTTCAAGTTTGGAGATGAATGAGAACATGTACAGCAACAATCAATGGTTTTTTCTTTTTCTAGTAGAACTAGAAGTCACTTTAAGGAAGTCATTTACTTAAGAACAAATAGCCTATTTTTTTCCTTAGACTACTTTTATGTATCATCATCACTTATCCTTCGTTAGTCTTCTTTTCTAACTGAAACTTTTATTTGTCTTCTTTTCGCATATATTAGAAAATCACTTCTTTTCCGTAGAAACTATGGGATTTTGGATTCTCCATTAAGAATTTGTACCATAAATTGCTTAAATTGTTCTAGAAACTTAAAATGAGTTTCTTGTATTAATGGCTATATTAATGTTTTCCAGCTGAGAAGAACACATGCCTAGCATTCTAAGACCCTCATTCATTTAACTAGGATTTTAGGTTACCTGTTTTTTTTCTCCCAGTTTCCACTGTTCTTGTTAATAGAAAGAGTTTAACCACTGTTTCTCTTGATGTCCCTCTTTCTGTAAATAATTCAAATATTAGGTGTTAAGACTTAGAAAGTATCAACCAATAGAACAACACTATGCTTGCAGCTTCTCTGGATTTCACCAATAGTTCAATTTCTACCATATCTCTTACCAAATTATTGCTATGCTTGCAGCTTCTCTGGATTTCACCAATAGTTCAATTTCTACCATATCTCTTACCAAATTATTGCTATGCTTGCAGCTTCTCTGGATTTCACCAATAGTTCAATTTCTACCATATCTCTTACCAAATTATTGCTATATATATTCACGCATATCTACCGTAAACTCTGTAGGTAGAATCATTAACAAATCAAGAAGAAGTTGAACTGCGTTCTAAAATTGAAACTCTTGGATTAGAGGTCATAAAAGTTCCTTCAAAGTCGACGAAACAGCTTGATGAGGTGGTTTTCACTCTATAGTCTAGCCTTTACTTAATAAACAGTTCTCTGCATGTATCTCATGGAATGAAATAGCATTCTCTTCCTTTCTATTTTTAATTGTTTGTTTTGCATTCACAGTTGGAAATAGCTAAGGAGCTGGATAGATTATCAGCAAAATTGGACGATGTTGATGAGATGATATCATCCACCATGGCCTCCGATCCTCAGGTGCGGTCTCTCTTAAGTTGTACAGCTGATGTGTGGATGCCAGTCATCACTGCAACCAGTGAGGAAAGACGTGGTTTTACAGCATCTCCCGGAGACAACAACACCCAAACAGATGCAGAAAACTCTAAATAAACTCTTATTTTCTTGTCATTGAATATATGGATGTTATGTTAGTGCTTTATATTATTTTGATAAATTGACAGGCATAAAGAAAGTGTTTCACTATGCTACTCCATACTTTAATACAAACAAAAAATTACATGTTTTCTGTCAAAATATGGTCTGGATATGTGTGTGTTAGTGCTTTGTAGGTCTGTGCAACACTTGAAATATAAATTTGAATGAAAATGTAGAGGTATTCTGGAAATAAAGAGAGCTTGTGTAGAAGAAATGTTATGCTAGTCATTCTTAAAATTTTCCTGAATATTTGGTGAAATGGTCGTCTTAAATTCTACTTCTAATTTAGTTAAGGTGTAAATTATATGGTTTGGTACAGAACGGTTGCAAGTGAGTTTGTCTTTGAAAAAAGATATCTACACGACCTACAACAAACCATTTACACACAAGAAGCTTCAACGTCTAACTTCTTAAAAATTTATTAGACTTGTTACTCACAATCCCTTACCCAACAAAATTACCGACTCACAAACACACAAACCAACAATCAAAACATGTTAGACACCCAATCACAATACCAAGAGTATCCTCTATATCATCACCAACAAAATGACTATTATCAAAATATCCAAAATGCATATGCCTCCAACACAACATCAAGATATAGTCAAAAGATATAGTCAAAACACGCAAGGAACATATAACACCAACATTTTCTCATACCATAGTCAAAACGCCCAAACATTGTATCATAGTCAAAACATCCAAACATCACACCATAGGGATGACTTTCAAACACCATAACCATTTCAACCTTTCTCCAACGAATCGTTCACACCAATGTCCCCTTCAATCATCCAAGCCATACACCAAACACCACAACCATTTCAACCTTTCTCCAGCGAATCGTTCACACCAATGTCACCTTCAATCATCTAGGCCACACACCAATGACCCCTTCAACACATCCCAACTACTCTGGTATGGGTCGCGAACTCAGTTACGACAGTGTATCGCTCCATATACAAGACTTCTTAGAATTGTAAGAACTTAGGGATCCTACACATTGTTCCCGAGACCTCAAATTTTCAAACACCTTGAGTGAATCAACAACGAGGACAACGAGTAAAGGTAGTTTGGAGATGTGGAACCGGTGGCTGACCAACTCAATTGGCGCCACCTTTATGCATTTGTACACTGACACCAATTGAATTGGCAACAATATATAGAGTTTTCAATTCAATTGATGTCTCCACTTAAAGTTATAAATCTGTTGCCAATTGAATTGACAACAACACTCGATCCTTTTCTAAAACTGGAGTATTTTGAATTTTTTTTAAAACATAAGTTATTTGAAAAAGAGAATTATTTGAATAAAAAATTCTTAAATTGCACTACTTAACCACCGGTATCCCAAATTGGCCATCATACTTCATTTGTATGCCATCTAAACCTTTCAAACTCAGTAACCAATTGTTCCATTATGATTATAAACCATCATCCCTTAACGAGAGAGCATAAAGATACTAGTCAATTCTTCAAACTGTTAGTATCTATTAAAATAACTGCTATCTCCAATCTTATTTGTAAGAGGCAATTCACTTTTCATTCAAATCAATAAATCATATACATTATAAATTTGAAAACTAAATTGTATCCGAGGAACTACAAAAATAGTTTCAACCAGAGTTGTCAAAATAAAAGTGATGGCATCCTCTTCCTCCTCCTTCTATTCATCCAACCACCAACGTCTCCTCTCCATGACAAAACTCATAACATCCCACGTAAACCAATCCCGCCACAAACAAGCTCTCTCAATCTTCCACCATATGCACACCACCTTACCCATCTCCCTCGACCCACACGTCTTCACCCTCGTCCTCAAATCCTGTACCACCCTCCACCTCCCCCTCCTCGCCACCTCCATCCACTCCCACCTCATCAAAACCTCTTTCCTCACCTCCAACCACTTCCTCTCCTCCTCCCTCATCAACTTCTACGGCCACTGTCTCTCCCTCAACTCCGCACGTAAACTGTTCGACGAAACTCCTCAACCAAATGTCGTCGTTTGGAACTCCATTATCGCACTCTACTCCCGTTCACAACAGATTTCAACTGCTGTTGAACTCTTTAACCTCATGAATGTACCTCCAAATGAATCCACTTTCAACCCTATCATCGCCGCTTTATCATCGTCATTGTCGTCAAATCAAAACAATGCTTCGTTTCAAGCAGTCAACTTCTACCGGAAAATGATTGAGTTGAAACTGAAGCCCAGTTTGATCACGCTTCTCGCACTTCTCCGTGCATCTGTTTTGACTGCAGCTTTGAATTTGATTAAAGAGATACATGGTTATGGGATAAGGAATGATATTGATTTGGATCCTCAATTAAGTAGCGGGTTGATTGAAGCTTACGGTAGATGCGGTTGTTTAATGAATTCACGCAAAGTTTTTTCGGGGATGAGGGAATGCGATAAAGATGTAGTTGTTTGGAGTAGTTTGATATCTGCTTGTGCTTTACATGGTGAAGCTAGGGAAGCATTGGAGTTTTTTCAAGAAATGGAGGTTTCGGGTGTGAAGCCGGATGGGATCACTTTTCTTGGTGTTTTGAAAGCCTGTAGTCATGCTGGGTTGGATGACGAGGCGTTGAGTTGTTTTATGAGGATGCATAGGGATTATGGCGTTGAGCCGAACAGTGAACATTATTCTTGTTTGGTTGATGTTTTGAGTAGGGCTGGGAGATTGTATGAAGCTTATGAGGTTATTAAAGGGATGCCTGTGAAGGTGACTGCTAAGGCATGGGGTGCTCTTCTTGGGGCTTGTAGGAATTATGGAGAGTTGGGGTTGGCTGAGATTGCGGCTAGAGCTTTGGCTGAGATTGAGCCGGATAATGCTGCGAATTATGTTCTGTTGGCTAAGATTTATGCCAGTGTTGGGAGACAGGAGGAGGCTGATAGAATGATAAGGGAAATGAAAGAGAAAGGAGTGAAGACTACGGGTGGTAGTAGCTGGGTTGTGTATTCCGAGTCTCGAGATTAACTGTGTTTGCCAAACATGATTTTAATTTGCAGTCATGGATGAGATGTGGTTCTTAAAACTATTGTAAATTGCAGACAAATATTGTTTGTGTGCTGCAATTGGAGTTGCAACGATCTCAAGAACTGTTGATGTTTTGGCCACAGGGATTGATTTTTTTCTGTGGATGTGTGTTGGACATGTGATAGTTTTGAAGCTACTACTTCGAGTTTCTAAAGGAATGCAGAGTGAAAATGTTGTGGCCATGGGAACTAACAGGCCAACAATTGTTTTTTGAATGAGATAATTGGAGAAGTGTTGTGTTTTGAATGGAGGGATTGAACTTGAAAGATATTGTTGATTCAGGTCCCTTTGGAGAGGATGAGGTTGACTTGTAGCTAACAGAGCCAGGTTCGACTTGGCACTTGCACTTTTTGTTAAGGTCATTTGAATTTTCTGGTTCTAACGCTTGACATGACTTTGCTGTTTTAAGATCTCATCCCTCATGTATTGAGTGATGGTATTTCTCCTGTAATTTGTTTGATTTTAATGTACGGTAGACTTGAATAATGTATAAGTTAGCTTGTATTATATATGGTTTATGAGTACTTTGATATGTTTATGTTAATATCAATGTCCTAACTTCAATCATATAACAAAAGAAAAAAAATGAACTCACTTGTTTTTCTAGAGAGTCTCCAACTTCTCTAAAAGAACTCATCGTGTCCTCCCATTTTTTATTTCTTTGCTGGGGTTAAGAAATTGATTTCTCCAGTAACTTGGTTTTCCCGCCCTTGTGGCTTCACCTTCCTTCCTAGTGAAGGTTCTTTTCTTCTTTTCGTCTCTAATCTCATTTTATCATTGTAACTCTTCTATACAAACTGTTTCGTTTTCTCCTTTCATCTCTCGTCGGTTTTGTTTCGGTGTGTTAGGAGGTAGCGGGTATGGATAAGTGGAAAAACATACAGCTTTTTAAGGAGGAAGAAGAAGGTATTACGGCGGAGGCTGAGCAAATCTGCGAATCGGAGATCTTCCAACGTACCTTAACCGGTAAACTATGGACAGATAACAACATCAACACAAGAGCCTTCACCAACACAATAATAAGAGTGTGGAAACTCAAAAACCCAATAGAGGGGTACAAGAGTTAAACAAAAACCTTTTTCTCTTTCGTTTTGCTACGAGAAGAGATTTGGAAGGTGTTCTCAAGAACGGGCCATGGAGTTTCGATAGAAAATTCTTATTCTGAGTCGCATATCAGGAGAGGAACAACCTTCATATCTGAATATGCATTATGGTTCATTCTAGGTCCGCGTGTACGAACTTCCCCTCATGTTACACTCAGAAGCTACAACAAAGAATCTGGGAGGAATTTTAGGTAAATTTGAGGAAATGGATTTGAAGGAAGCACATAGGAATGGAAGATTCTTAAGAGTTAAAGCAAAAATTGACCTAAAGAAGCCTTTGAAAAGAGGAACGGTGGTGCACTTCAAAGAGAAAAATCTCCGAGTTCATTTCAAGTATGAACATCTTCCTACATTCTGTTTAGTCTGTGGAAGAGTGGCTCATCAACTTAAGGATTGCGAGGCAGTTGGGGATCTCAGTGAAGAAGGATTTGAAGATTTGGACGAACAAGACCTATCATTTGGAACGTGGTTGCGAGCTTCCCCTCTCCCAAGGGCTCAGAAGGAGCAGAAAATGAAAGATACAAACTCAAGCTCATGCAGCAGAAGTTTGTTTAACACTTCTTCAGGTCAAAGCAGATGTGAAGCTAGGGGCAAAGGCAAGGAAGGAGAGGATGGAGAAATAGAACAAATAGGGGACCGCGTTCAAGGAGCCAAGAGTTCAGTAGCATTACCATTAGAAAATCTGCAATAAGAAGTTCAACCAAATAAAGGAAAAGCAGTTTTGGAGATAAAAGCTATGGCGGAATCATTAGGAGCAGTTGGCATTTCAAACACTGGGAATGGCCAAAAGAAAAATACAGAATTTGACTCTAGTAAGAGAAAGAAATGGACGAGAAGGTAAAACACAAGAAAGACAAATTCAGGTATTGCTAAACAAATTAAGACTGAATGTGGGAAGCGAAATTTAGTAGAGGTGATGATATTAGATGGAACTGTGGAATCCTGTGGAGTGGTGGAGAAGAAGTTAAAGGGTCAGGAGGCATCCTTGAAGGAAAGCTCAAAAGAGCCAGAGGTGGTGTTGGAAGACCAACACTGCCTAGATCAATGAAACTTTTAAGTTGGAACTGCTGGGGGTTGGGGAGCCCCCGTGCAGTTCGAGCCTTGACCAGGCTCATTCGTTTGGAAAACCCCAACATGATGTTTGTGATGGAATCTAAGTTTAAAAAGGATGAAGTTCAAAGGATAAAGCAAAGAACTGGTTTTAAGTGTTGTCTGGGTGTGGAATGTACAGGTTGGGGTCGCGAAAGGGCACGAGGGATCTTTCTGTTATGGCAAGATAGTCTGCAGGTGGAAATCACTTCATACTCCATCAATCACATTAATGGTTCTGTGAAGGATACTCAAGATGAGGAGCCATGGTGTTTTAATGGCATCTATGGATACCCCAAGGAATGTAATAAGAAGCATATCTGGATCTTACTACATGATTTGGTTAAGAAAGGTGGAGAGAGAGTTATCTATTTTGGGGATCTGAATGACGTGGTTTCAGCTGGTGAGAAGAAGGGAGGAATTGCTAGATCTACAAGTCAGCTCACTTGTGGAAGAATCTCCTTGGAAGCTTGCTATTTTTTAGATCTGGGTTTCGAGGGACACCCTTACACTTGGTCGAATGGTATAGCAGGTCCATACAATATTCAGTGCCGCCTGGATAGAGCCTTTGCAAGCAACAACTTTCTGAACAGATTTTCACCAATCAAAGGTTTGGCATCTTCACATGTTTGGTTCTGACCATGCTGTTCTCAGGATAGATCTTGAAGCTGACATCGGGGATTCAAAAAAGAAGAAAGAATATCTCTTCAGATTTGAAGAGGTCTAGAGCAAGGATCCTAGATGCGAGAGCTATATATCTCAGATTTGGAATGATGACTCGAGCCAAACAGTCAGCAAGCTACATGGTTTGCAGGGTCTTAGTGATTTATTTAAGGAGTACAAGATCAGCTCAATTAACCAGGAGTTGAAAAGACTAGAAAGTTTATTGAAGGATGAAGCCAGGTGGAACTCTGATGAACACTCTATTAAAATTCATAAGGCCTTAGAGTCTTAGAGGAACAAATTACTCCAATTTGAGGAAATAATGTGGCGTCAGAAAAGTAGGGCAGTTTGGCTCCAGCATGGGGACAAGAACAATAGTTTCTTTTATAAGAAGGTTGATCAGAGACGGAGAACAAACACAATAACCAGGTTAAAGGAGGCGAATGATGTCTGTAACACCCTTCTAAATCTCGCGGAATATATATAAATAATCAGAGTAATTATCATGCATCTCACAAAAGGGTGTCACATATAATCTCAAAACATCACATAATCACCTGTGATGCTCAATAACACTTAAAATAAATTCATCCTTTTCATACACTTTCACATTAGCATGTAGCAGCGATTTTACTTTAATCATAATAAACATAATGAAAGTCTCATTCTCATCTCATTCATAATCAATACTTAGGCTTAAAAGCTATTACTTCATATAATTCAAAATAACAATCATAGAATGAAGTAGAGTACATAAAGTATCTCTCAAAACATGAACTCGAAACATTCCCCAATTTTACATAAGCAGAGCATGACTCGACCCAAAATAAATAAAGACACAAATCAAGCTACTCCAATAGCTACCTCGCGCTAGAAGCAACTCTACTCCTCGGTACCTGAGCGATGTCGTATAAAACATCATTTCAACAGAAGGGTGAGAATTCACATAATTATTGAAATTATAAGATAATAATTAATCTAAGACATACAAGCATAATTCAATTATTCTCACACTTCAAAGTTTCATTAACAAGTATCACTCAAGTAGCCATACCATTCACAAGTATATACACACAATTCACAATTTCACCAATTTCAGCAATTCACATAGATACACATAATCTCATAGCACAAACATATACACAATGAGACTTAATGCAAAACTCAATGAAAGACCCAATGCAACTCATGCCATGTGGTACCAAACACTTATTATTTTTCGGTTTTTACATTAAACCGTGTCCGTTCCCTAGACCAATAACACACAAAAAGCTCATTCCCTAAGCATTCAAACCCCGCTCTAGGTTTGGGACAAGTTACTAGCTCCCATGGAACTAGCAAGCATTGCCTCTTGACACAAATGATGCATGTGCAAGTTCACAAACATATGCAATTAAGACTATTCCCTAATCTTAACATTCATGCATATCTTTAATAATTCATCACACTTGAATTACCACACAATTACACATACTTGCACATTTTTATGAATCATCCACATACAATTCACTTTCAAATAATATACAACACATTTTACAATACAATCACAATTGTATTATCATTACAACAAGCAATAACTATCATGCATTTCATGTTGTCACACACAAAATATACTTGTGTCGACCGCTAGCGACGGATCAGTCGACTTATTGAAGGCTGAAACAAAATCTAGAAAAATGCATTCAGTATGCGTCGACCGCTACGACGTATGCGTCGACGCAAACAGCACAGAATGCAGAATTTTCTACGTTTTCCACCGTTCGAGGCCATCAGGACCTCCGTTTTCAATTATGTAAAAAACCCTAGTTCCAGAATTTGAAATACTACCATTATATGACAATTATAACAACCCACAACACATATTTAAGGATTCTATCATCATATATGATGTAATCATAAATTTCAAAACCATAGAAATTAGAGATTTTTATCCTAAATATGATACTATCCATCATACACTATCATACAATCCCAATAATCATATAAAAACGCACCCTTACCTTAGTTTTTGGAGGATTCTTTAGCCCTATCTCTTGGTTCTTCTTCTTCTCCACCCTTCCTTCTCTCTAGCTTGTTTTTTTCTCTTTACTAAGTTTTTCTCTCTTTCTATTCTTTTGTTAAACCCTAACATTGTCTTAATCAATTGAGCTTAACTCAATCCACTCTCACTTACTATTTACACACCTAATTAAGCCTAACTAAATAATATAACCATTCTACATTATTCTACCAAATAGAATAAATCAATTAATTTAAGTAATTCAATAAATTAGTTAATTCAATTAGGCACAAAGTCACCCAATTAATCAATTAATTTAATTAAATTAATAATTACTAAAAATTGGGGTGTTATAATGTCTGGAGGAAGGGAGAAGCGAATTATGAGAGAATATTGACAAATTATTTCAGGGACCTTTTTACTTCTTCTAATCCTATAAATCTCGAGGAAGTAATGCAGGGTTGTTCAAGGAAAGCTGAGTCCTTCTCATATCAGCAGGTGTATGGAACCTTTTACTACTCAAGAAATCAAGGAAGCATTGGATCAGATGCACCCGCTTAAAGCCCCTGGACCAGATGGCCTTCCTGCCTTATTCTTCCAGAAGTACTGGCACATCGTATGGGGAGAAGTAAGAAAGCTTGTTCTTGATATACTGAATAATGGTAAAGACCCAAATGGGATTAATTCAACTCATATAACGCTCACTCCAAAATGTAAACACCCTTGCACACCAAAGGATTTCAGGCCTATCAGTTTATATAATGTGGTCATGAAGTTGGTCTCAAAGACAATTCCAATCAAATGAAAAGATTCCTTCCTGAGATTATTGATGAGGAGCAAAGTGGCTTCGTGCAAGGGAGATTAATCACGGATAATGCTCTAGTGGCCTTAGAATGCTTTCACTGGCTTAAGAAGAAGAAATCAAGAAAACGTGACCACACGGCCCTTAAGCTTGATATGTCTTTAGCTTGATATGTCAAAGACATATGACCGGTTGGAATGGAGTTTTGTTACTAAAGTCCTTTATGTGATGGGATTCCCTCGCTATTGGGTGAATCTGATTGAGAGATGTATCTCTACAGTCTCCTACAAGATCCTTCTTAATGGCCAACAATGTAGAGCTTTTCATCCTGGTAGGGGTCTCTGACAAGGAGACCCCCTCTCACCTTATCTCTTCATTATTTGTGCTAACGTTTTTTCAGGTCTCAATAAA